AACTGTTCATATGTCTCAAATTCTGGATTGGTGATTTCTTCATTCAAATCACCACAAACACTTTCGGTGGAATTTTGACCGATCCATCCAAGTAAGAGAATAATCGGTGTTGTTTGACCATAAAAAACACCTACTATTTCCAGATCAAATAGTTGCTGTCATCTAACTTCACATTAATCTTCTTGTTCATGAAGTTCCGAGCGTTCATACCAAGATTGGTTATCTAAGAAGTGGTAGTAGCTGACATTGTTGTGCAATATGTCAATCCTTGAGAGGAGGGTAACCGCAGCCATTGTCTGTAGTTCTTTAATTGGTGATTGTAGCTCCACCAATACAGTGAGGCTCTGATACCATATTAAAGGATATGGTTCAGAGAATAATATGATTCATAAAATCATTTTATTATGAATTGTGACAGAGTACATCTTATATAGTGATCAATAGTGATCAGCATGTTAGACGTGTGTACATAATGATAGCTGTATCATAACGACTTCTAAAACAAACTTAACCAAATATATCAGATAACTACTAATAACCATCTAATCTTTTGATTCCTCCCTCTGTAGTTACTAGGGATTTTTTTCAGGTCCAATATTTTACCAATCCAAGTTCTTTTAGTTTGCTAAAGACGAAAGCATAGCCTGCATATTTGGTTATGACTAAGTCCTTCCAGATCAATGAGTTATCTTGCGGTAAAATTGCTTTGACTTAATGCATATAGCTATTATGCATGCAATCTAATAAAAACATGATACAATGTGACGTATATAGAGAGGTGGCCTGCATTTATCTCTATATAACGTGTGCTGAGGGGCGTTGACCAGTGTATTTAATCTTGCTACATACACCTCTTCAAAACCTCTCTTACTAGTTATTCTCATTTGAGATACATGCCCAGCCATTATTATTTGCATTTATCTCTCACAATGTGTCGTGGAGGAAAATCCTTTATCTATATTTATTGGTGGATAAAAATTGAGATGCATATATGTTTATTTCTATATATTCGATTCTTAAGATAAGACCTAATTGGTTAATTTGAGAAATTAAGGCAGTTACTAAATTGCTTTAAATTACTTATATTTATAATTTTTCTCTAAACTAATTTAGCTCACTTATAAATTGATATACAATATAATTTAATAATTCACATAAGTATTTTAGAGAGATCACATAACATATGCTATTATAAGTAATTTAATAACTTTTTTAATATTTCCAAGTTAGTCACTAAGGTCTTATATTAAAGGCTGAAAGTAGAATATTGATTTTCAGCTTCTAAATAATATGTCAAAATGTTGGCAAAAAAGGAAGAAAAAAACGTCAAAGTGCTTGGATTGGGGTTCATCCGTCACGAGAACAAAATGCAAGTCTAAATAATAACAACAAAAATAATATATAAATGAAGCAATGTATTTTTTTTTTTTTTGGCTATGTTTGCCCTTTTACTCTTTCTATCTAACAGACAGATTGACTTGACTGTATGGGAGGCTTATCATTTTCAATATTCTTTGTGTGAATCATGTAGTTGTGTTTGTCTGTGTTTTGTTAGTTGTCACATTTGAAACCATAAAAAAGCATAGTTTGTTGGGTGAAAGTAATTAAATAGTTATTTATTACTATCAAAACTATAATTATTTTTTTAACTTGGATAGTTTGTAACATGAAACCAAACAAATTAAAGGAGCACACTAAATAGCGGAAAATACTAATCGTACATGACTTGCTTTGGTCGTTATGGTAGCCATGCATCCATATATATGGGTTGACATGGTACAAGTAAACGAAGAAAACTTTAGGGGCTTTGTTGCTTTGCTTTTATTCCTCAGACAGAAAACAAAAAAAGAAAGTGAAAAAGAAAAGAAAAGCTTTATGGCTGACACGACCGGAACGTCGACTTGCTCAGTCAACACATCGAACTTTGAATATTTGCCGAGTGGACTCGGATTATTTCCTCTAGATCTGTATAATCTAGACCCTTGATGCATACGGTAAAAGACTTCGGATCTTTGTTATGTTTTTTCCTTTGTCAGAAGAAAAGTTTACCACTTCTGGAGTTTAATACTTCTTGACATTTAACTATCTCCATTATTCTTATCACGCAACAAATTAAAAGAAAATTTATAATAAAATATTAATGGTTTTAAATTAATACGAAAATTTTCATACCAAAAAAACATACGTAATTGAAACAGCTTTAATATTTAGTTTTAAAATGTAAACGAGGTTTGCTGTTTTTTTTTTTTTAGTGTATTTTCTTCTTTTTCTTTCTTTCTTTCTTTTTATAGCATTTACCAACAAGTATAGATTTTCAAGTATGAATTTATTTTCTATGTTAATTTGTCCAAGGATTCACATATTGCAAAAACTTACCGTTTATGACCTTTTTAGGAAGCTCATTTGTGCTGTAAAAAAAAAAAAATTGTTAGGATGTGGAGTGTCAAATAAAGTTCAGTTTATTGAGATATACATATGTGTGCGTATATATATGTAGGAGATGAAAAGATTCATAAACTTGAATTTTAAAATTTTGAGTGGTTAACATATAGGGTTGGTTTGGATTGACATATGAAAAGTAACTTATTTCCGATCTGACTTTTAGAAAAATTAGATTGAGTAATGTGATTTATGTTCGGATTGATTTTTATAAAAATTAGTTTGTAAAGTAAAAAAACTATTTCAAGTATGATTGGATAAGTAAGTTTAGTTTGTAAAATGACCAAAATAAGTATAACTTTTATTAAATAATCAAAAAAAATAAAAAAAAAGAATTGACAAAAAATATAATAATTTTAAATTATTATAATAAATATAATATATTTAAATTAGAAATTATAGTAATAATGTGAAAATATTTTAACTAAATAATATTACATAATTAATTGGATGACTCTGCACAATTTATGTAAATATAAAGTAAAAATATTATTAAAAATATTATTAAAAATATTATAAAAATTTTGTTAAAAAATATTTTTATTTAAAAGAGTATTAAAAATAAATACCTAAAAAATGATTGGGAAGCCATTGAATATGTACAGAGAAGTATAAGGAGAACATAAACATATGGATACAAATGTTTTAAATTGATTTTTAAAAGTGGCTTTTGCGTAAGATGAGGCATAAACTATAAAAATTAGCTTATAACTTAAAGTGACTTTTTTAGGCAAAATGGCTAACATAATACAATAACTCAATCTGATTTTTCCTCTGTAAAAGTTCCTTTTACCCCCTCCAATCCTCAACCAAACAAACTCACAGTGTCAAGGCCCAGTTTGATTCATGTGAAAATCCTATGAAATGAATAACCCATATTTTGGTGCGTAGCTACAGAAAAGATGATAGTTGACTAAAGGCTTTGGATCCAACCTTACGGTCATGGAGATTACGTAGTGTTCCAGCTACATTAAGTTGAACCGAAACAAGCCAAGCAGCCAACCTTTAATTTTCGTCAGCCTCTTATAATTTAGCGTGTTTATGGAGGCATGGAGCTCGAGAAAGTGGGGGGAAAGGTTTTGTGTGATAAAACATAAGAGACAAATTGACTTTTGCCGACTCAAAGTTTGATCTGATCTTCTGCAACTTTCTGGGATCATTTAAGTTGTATTCATCACTATAAAGTTGACCGGCAAAGTCGTCTTCCTATCCAACTTACTACTTTCGGTCTTTAATATAAGAGCTAGTTGATTAATTTGAGTAGATTAAGAAAATTAATTAAATTAGTTATTTGTAATAAATAAGTATTATCTTTTCTAAAATATTCTTACTAATCAAGTATATTCGCTAGAACTATTATTATTATAAGGACTGCCTTGAAAAAAAAGAAGAGATAAATAGAAGAGACAAAATGGATTAGAGTTTTATATTTAAGACCAAAATAAAAGCTAAACAAACTCTTATATTAAGAACCGGAGGTAGTATCATAAAATAAAGAAAACATATATATATTAATAATATAGAAGCTATTTAATTAATCTAGGCAGATTAAAGAAATTATGTAAATTGGTTAATTATAAAAAATGTGACCTTGGATAATATTATATTATATATTAATTTGTAAGTTGGAATAAATAAGTTTGGAAAACAATAAATACAAAAAACAAAGTAGTAAGATATTATATTTGGAATCAAATCTGATTCCCATGAATCTTATGCTAGAGACCGGGAGGAGTTTAAGTTTATTGAGAGGGCACTAAGCTCGGTTTAATTGCAAAGACAATTATTAATGCTACTAAATCAAAACATGGTGCAAGGAAATCTTCTTTCTCTCCCCCGTTCACATAAATTCTTTTTCCAATGTACTAATTAATGTATGAGATCTTTAAAACAACTTACACAAACAAGTTAGTGAATCACGTTATCACCTTAAAAGCTTCTTCCCTGCGGTAGTGAACTAGATACTATTTACCAATTATGTATCACATAATAATTACCCCCTACCTGTGAAGAAGAGGGAAAAGAATTACAGGCAAAGAGTTCACGTGCTGTAGAAAGTAGAAATGCTGAAGAAGCCACAATGCATGTTATAAATTGGGCTCGTTCTGATTAAAACGTTAACTGAGTGCTATACTAAGATAATTCACTCGACGTGCACCTGTATCCAAAATAATTAACTCAACTAGGCTTTAATTGAGAACTTTTTTTTTTTTGGGTGGCTATTTGAGAATCTTTCTTTTTTTTTCTTTTGTTTTTGGCCTAAAGATTACGTGCTTTATTGAAAGCACAAGAAATTGTCAATTTGAAATTTTATGCCAAACAAAGCCTTGGATTAGCAAAAGCTAGGTGCTAAATATTCTAGCGGGTCCATTTCTTTTCTCCCGTCTGATAATTGAACTTTCTTTAGATTCTTGAATATCTCACCAATGGAATCTTAAAGTACATATGAAGAAACAAAAATGTGCTCATAAGCACTACATTGATGGGTTCAACAATGTCAAAGTAAAATTCATAAATACAGAATAGAGGAACACAGAAAGGACCAACATTAAACAAAAAAGGGCAAGCTCAGCCGCCAGCAGCAGTAACAAGAAGAACCACCGTTCGACTCAAACATATATACAAACAATGTAAATACGACATTTGGTTTGCGCGGTTCAACGTTATGAAAGTCCTAATAACTACCTACCGAGCATATGGAACAAGCCCTGAATCAGAACTGAAAGAAAACCTATCAAGGGAACTGGTTGAAATTGTCCCCTTGCTTTCGGTTAGAGCCAAACATTCCTTTAGTTCCGCAACTACATGGCTTATGTCAGGCCTTTGAATTGCAGATGGTGGAGTGCAACACAGAGCAATCTCTAATAATTTCCAAGCTGAATTGGTGCTGCAATTTCCCCGTAATCTTGGATCAATGATGGATTGTATGTCTCCGATTTCAATTTTTGGGGTAACCCAATGAAGAACATGACAGATGGTGCCATGCTCTCTCCTTATTGCTGGTTGACCCGTGATTAGTTCCAGTAGAATTATCCCAAAACTATAAACATCACTCTTTTTATTCAGGTTTCCAGAACTCTGAAACCTGTCAAAATAACCAACTGTTAGATCTGAAAACGCAAGTGAAAATTTCCAAATTGTTTAATTGCAGAATGCCAAAATGTACAACCACTTCACGGCAAGATTAAGAAAAAGAACGTATGTTCAGCTTTGTCTAAGCAATCTTACAATCAAATTGACCTGCAAGGCCACAACGTGGAATCCACTCTATATATTGAACCATCAAACTTTTAACCCAACTAATATGAGGTAAATTGTAATTTATTTTGTTGATTTGTTGAAATAACTTACTCAGGATCAAGATAACCTAATGTGCCAGCTGGACGAGTTGATACATGAGTGTCAATATCAGTTGCAAAAGCTCGAGATAGTCCAAAGTCTGAAATCTTGGCTTGCATCTTTTCATTTAGCAGAATGTTGGAAGTTTTTAAATCTCTATGGACAATTGGTGGTTTACAACCATTATGCAAATAGTCCAATCCTGCATTTTTAATTAAGTGGCCAAATATATTATAAGCATAATTGAAAAGAAGAATAAGCGAAAAAAGAAAAAACACATCCTTGTAGTTTTACTATAATAGTAAAAATAAAAAAGGGTTTTGCTTACCATGTGCAGCATCCAAAGCAATTTGAAGCCTCTCATTCCATTTCAAGACATTAGGGTTTTCCTCTGCATGATGAGCATAGATAGATTTATTCTATATTTTCCTTTTGAGATTGTTCAATTTGAGCAGAGGGTCTATCATGGCTAAATACCTGATAAATGCTGTTGGAGATTGCCATTAGCCATATATTCGTAAATTAATGCCCTCACACCAACTTCTTCACAATAGCCGATTAGAGAAACCAAATGTCTATGATGAATAACCATCAAGAGTTCTACCTGCAATGCAATCCAAATTAACCATCAAGAGTGAGCTAATATTTAATTTTAATCTTTCTTGTTTTCACACCACTATTAAAGTTTCCATTATATTCACCAAAAAAATGAAAACTCTAAGTGTTTGACTTGATTCATCGTCTAAGTATCTGACCTCAGATCGAAATTCTTTGAAACCTTGCATTGATGATTGAGAAAGTAATTTCACAGCGACTTGAGTATTATTTCTTAGAGCGCCATAATAAACCTTTCCAAATCCTCCTTCTCCAATTAAGTCTTGCAAATTATTAGTGATTCTGAGAATTCTGGAGTAAGAAACTGCTCGAGTTTTTGGGTGCAACGATTCTTCATTTGTAGAAACAGTTATAACCATTGCAATGTTAATACAAACAGTATGAACTATCAAGCACCCAGAAAATTGGCAAAATAAACATAGCTCGCGAGATATATGGAGAGAAAGATTATATGTTTGAAGTGTTTCTATGAACTCTTAAATAATCCATATCAACAGTATAAGATAAATATACTTCGATAATGATTCTTCTTTTCTTTTGGGCATAAACTTCAGATGTTGTATTATAAAACAAAGTATAGACTAAAGAAGAAATCTAGCAGTCTCTAATGGGAAGAGTGGCATCCAATAGATGACACAGAACAAAACTAATTGCAAAAAACTGACAAGAAAAGCTGATCATGAAGACAAATGCTTAATCATAACCAAGCATATATTTATACCTACCTTTTAATTTTTTTGGTTTTGAAGATCCATATTCCTAGACAAATCAAGAGGCTTGCAACTAAAGCAGAAACAGAAGCAACAAGTGGAATGACAAACTTCTGCTTCTTGCACGAATCCTCCGGACAAAGGCCAGGATTATCCTCCAACCTGTGGAACAAGTTGTATCATTGTTACTTTTGAGTCACATAAGGGTATGTTTCATAATTGAACAAGACACATTAATAAAAAGAAAAACCTCAATTGCAAATCTGTCTTTTCCTTGAGAGCCTTGGGAATGGGACCTGTGAGCTTGTTGCCAGTCAGGTTACTACAAAAGCATTGTGAAATATATATATGTGTATATATTCACTTACTAGTTGAGCTAGAAGTTATTAAATATAAATCATAAACAATATAGTTCAAAACTTCCAGTACTTTCAATTTTGGTAGTTCAGCTAAAAATTCAGGTACTGGTCCCGACAAGTCATTAAATGACAAATCTCTAGAACAAAGCAACATGTTCTGCATGTTAGTAAAACTTTCCCACTAATAATTGATCCTTAGTAAATCATTCTGTAGACAGACTTACAAGGACTCTTAACTCTGTAAGTTGTGAAAATGAGGTTGTTATTTGCCCTGTCAATTTGGTCGCACTTAGGTTCCTGCTTGAGTGAATCATGCTTTCAATACTTGGTCATAAACTTTGACATCAATAAAGGCAGGTGATATGAACTTTGGCATCATTAATAATCAATACTCTTGGGAGTTGGGATAACGTAAAACTAAACTATATGATTTTTTCATTTGAGTATTATAGAAAAAGGGATGTGGAAAATAATTTCCTTGTATTTCATTGATCAGAATATACACATATATATACAAGTGAGAGGAGCCTCTGCATTAATGGCTCATTATGATAATATCATATCCTATCAAATCCTAATCATAATTACATAATATTTACATATCAAATCATATCATATCTCTATACTCCCCCTCAAGTTGGAGCATAAATGTTAAGCATACCCAACTTGTCACACAGATAATCAACACGAGTCCCATTTAGAGCTTTAGTTAGAAGGTCGCCTAATTGATCACCAGAACGCACATATCCAGTGGAGATAAAGTTCTCCTTAAGCTTGTCTCTGATAAAATGACAATCAATCTCAATATGTTTAGTATGTTCATGGAACACAGAATTGGAAGCTATATGTAGGGCAGCCTTATTGTCACACCACAACTTTGCTGGCAAAGTGGTTTTGAGGTCAACTTCCTTTAATAGCTGATATATCCAAATTATCTCACATACAGACTGTGCCATAGCTCGGTATTCTGCCTCTGCGCTCGATCTGGACACCACATTTTATTTCTTGCTTTTCCAGGACACCAGATTCCTGCCCACAAAGACACAGTATCCTGTAGTAGACCGTCTCGTGGCCTTTGATCCACCATGATCCGCATCACAGAAGCACTCAATGTCTGTATGGCCATGATTTTTGTATAATATCCCATGACTTGGACATCCCTTTAAATAATGTAACACGTGCTCCAAGGCTTCCCACTGTCTGACAGTCAGGGATGCCATGAACTGGCTTAGTACACTGATTGGATAAGTAATATCCGGACGAGTTACAGTGAGATAGTTTAACTTGCCAATCATTCTCCTGTACCTCTCAGGATTCTCAAATGGTTTGCTCTTCTGAGCCTCAAGCATCCGTTTCTCATCATCAAGAGAGTCATCGAGTGGTATGCTCCCATCAGCGTCAAGGAGTGGGTTGTGAACCATAGGAAACTTAGTCGGTGCTGCTCCCAACTTTCCAGTTTCCTTCAGGAGGTCAAGAAGATATTTGCGCTGTGTCAGTAATATGCCCTTCTTGCTTCTCATAACTTTAATACCTAGAAAGTATGTCAGAGAGCCCAGATCCTTCGTCTGAAAGTGGGAATTAAGAAAGGACTTGAGGGACGAGATGCCCGAACCATTATTGCCTGTGACCACAATGTCATCTACATACACCACTAAGAGAATCATGCCAGCCGCTGTTCTTTGATAAAATATAGAATGATCGCACTTGCTTTGGCTCATGCCAAATTTCTGTACAACAGTACTGAACCGGTCAAACCATGCACGAGGACTTTGCTTCAAACCATACAAGGACCTCTTAAGGCGACATACTTTCCCACGCTCCCCCTGAGCAACCAACCCAGGTGGTTGCTCCATATAGACCTCTTCATGGAGATCATCATGCAAGAAGGCATTTTTAATGTCTAACTGATGTAGATCCCAATCATAAGTAGCAGCCAGAGAGATGAATAGACGAACAGATGAGAGCTTAGCAACAGGAGAAAAGGTTTCGGAATAATCAATGCCATAGGTCTGTGCATAGCCTTTAGCCACAAGGCGAGCCTTAAGGCGATCAAGTGTGCCGTCAGCCTTAGTTTTCGGAGTGCACACCCATTTACAACCAATGGCCTTAAGGCGATCAAGTGTGAACACCCAATAAATCGACCAGGGTCCATGTACCAGCCCGATCAAGGGCCGCCATATCCTCTTCCATTGCAGCACACCAACCTGAGTGGGCCAAGGCTTCACGAATAGTTCTGGGCACAGAGATAGTATCTAGGGAGGCAACAAAAGAACTGGACACAGGAGACAAGTGATCATAGAAAACAAAAGATGAAATAGGATGGGCACAAGTACGTTTACCTTTGCGAAGGGCAATGGGTAGATCAAGAGAGGCATCCGGGTCTGGAACAGGAGGTGTCTCAGGGTTAGGGTCAGAACGAGGTTCAGTATTGCTCAACTCAAGATCCGATGGCGAAGCGGACAAGGGAGGAATAGAAGCTGGCGTGGCGGTAGTAATCTCCTTTGACCGTCGTGTATACACATGATCAAATGGTTGAACGGGTGCAGGAGCGGATGCTTGCGATGATGGTGATGGTGAAATGACAAAGTATATCAGAATGTCATCCTCCTCCGCAGGAAGAGCAGGTGGGGAAGAACACGAGTAATATGGTGTGGACTCTTGAAAGGTGACATCTGCAGATACTAAATAACGATTGAGAGTAGGTGGGAAACAACGGTAACCTTTTTGGACCCAGGAGTATCCAAGGAAGACACATTTAAGAGACTTGGGGTCTAACTTTGAAATTGATGGACGTACATCCCGCACAAAACAAACACACCCAAATATCTTAGGATCAATAGGGAACAAAGGTTTAGAAGGAAAGAGGGTAGAAAAAGGAGAGTTACCATCAAGAACAGAGGAAGGCATTCGATTAATAAGAAAGCATGCAGTGGAAACCGCGTCAACCCAAAATGGTTTAGGAACCTGCATTTGAAACAAAAGGGCACGTGCGACTTCAAGTAGGTGGCGATTTTTTCTTTCTGCAACACCATTTTGAGCTGGTGTGTCAACACAAGACGACTGATGAAGTATACCATTTTGAAGCATGTAAGATTGGAACGAAGTAGAGAGATATTCTTTAGCATTATCACTTCGTAAAGTGCAAATAGAAACATTAAACTGAGTTTTAATCTCAGCACAAAAGGCACAAAAATGGGAAAACAATTCAAAACGATGTTTCATTAAATATAACCAAGTTGTTCGGGAATAATCATCAACAAATGTAACAAAGTATTTAAAACCTGCTTTGGACTCTATAGGACAAGGACCCTAAACATCAGAATGGACTAACTCAAAAGGGGATGAAACCCGTTTATTGACACGAGACACTAAGGGAAGACGATGATGCTTGGCAAACTGACATGACTCACAATCTAAAGACGACAAATACTGAAATTGAGGATAAATTCTCTTAAGAGAAGCTAAAGACAAATGACCCAATTGACAATGAACTTCAAAGGGAGTATGACTGCTAGTGCAAGCTACTGCATGAGACACCCGATCATCCAGAATATAGTGCCCGCCAGATTCATAACCTCTACCAATAGTCCACCTCGTCAAAAGATCCTATATCAAGCAATGAGAAGGAAAAAGTGAGACCTAACAGTTTAGTTGACGGGTGAGTTTACTGGGAGATAGGAGATTAAAAGCAAGTTTAGGGACATTTAGCACAGATGACAAACGAATAGAGGGTGTGGGATTAACAGTGCCAGAACCGAGAACTTGAGACTGGGAACCATCAGCGATAGAAACACTTGACGGATTAGCAAAAGCATTATAAGAGGAGAAGAGATAGCGGTTACCTATCACATGATCAGTAGCCCCAGAATCTATGATCCACTTTGAGGAAGAAGAAGCAAGGGTAGTAGCATTATTACCTATTGTAGCCGCGGCACTCACAGATGGCGTAGCAGATTTTAATTGGGCATACTCAGCGGCAGAAATCGTGACTGTGTCACTGGCTTGTGTAGCCACGTGGGCAGAGTTATTTCATTGTTGTTTATTCTGAAGTTTACGACATGTGCGTTTTGTATGCCCCGGTTCTTTGTAGTAATAACACACCATTCCGCTGGAGTCAGAAGGGGCTCCCCCTTGCTTTAAACCACCACGGGTAGAACCCCTGCGGTTATCAGTGGGACTACGAGTCTCATAAACGCCCTTACTGAGCAAGGCACTTGTAGGAGCACTAGCAGCTGGTGGCAAGAGATTCTCAGCTCTCATTACTCTGGAGAACACATCTTGAAGGTCAGAAATCTCAGATCCGGATAAGATTTGAGAGCGAACTATATCGTACTCAGGTGGGAGGCCAGTAAGAAAGCTCATGATAGCCATTTGCTCCCGCTGCTTATGCTGAACCTTCAAATCAGCAGTGAGAGGCATCAATACATTCAGCTCTTCATACATCCTCTTAAAATCCATAAAGTAGGCTTTGAGAGGGCGATCCTGTTTCTTAGAACGATAGAAAGCTTTGCAAACCTCGTAAACACGAGAGATATTTCCTTTTCCTGAATACAAAAAATCTAAATAATCCATTAGTTCCTTAACCAATTCACAGTGATTAATAGAAGGAATAATCTCACTGTCAATAGAGTTACGGATCTGAAAAAATAGCCGCGCATCATCCCTCAACCAGGCCTTCTTTGAATCAGTTGTTGGGGGATTATCAGTCAGATGGTCTTCCTTCTCAATACTCCTCAAATAGAGACGAATAGTTTTACTCCAATCCAAATAGTTTACCCAAGTCAACTTGTGATCAGTAATTTTAGTAACAGTTGGGACAAGCTCCGAGACAAATTTAGTTTTGGCCATAGATGAAGTGTACTAACAAAAGAAACGCGAAAGATTGTCACACAGGGACACAAAGCACGATACCTGGATTACCTAATGAATACCAGAGAAGTGAAATAGGCCAACAGCTACACAGGGAGCTGCAAACAGAGCCAAATGACACAAACAGAGTGCTGAAAGGCCAATGAATAGTGCAGAACACGGATGAACAATGCAGATCACCGGAAAATCAACGAACAGTACATCACCCGCCGTACCCACACCAAGGGGGTACCACAATCTCGCCGGAAAACAGGAGTCGCCGTCCGTCGTTGAGGTTGCCGCTGAAACGGACGTGCCACGCGCCCTTACTCGCCGGCACGTGAATCTCCGGTGAATCTGTAGGTGGTGCGTGAAGGTCACACGCTGGTCAGGTGGCCGTCGGACGTTGGGGTTTGGCCGATCTGGAGGAGGGGAGATGTTTGGGCATGGCGGTGTCACTCAAAACGGCTCCGTGGAAGGATCACACACTCACACGTTTATTTTCGGTACTGTAGCAACCAAAAATAAACAGCCAGAAAAGAAAAAAGGGTTGTACGCTCTGATACCATATAGAAAAAGGGATGTGGAAAATAATTTCCTTGTATTTCATTGATCAGAATATACACATATATATACAAGTGAGAGGAGCCTCTGCATTAATGGCTCATTATGATAATATCATATCCTATCAAATCCTAATCATAATTACATAATATTTACATATCAAATCATATCATATCTCTACAAGTATCAAATAAAAAACTAGGACAAAGCCCATAGAAACAATGACATTACTAGATATTAATTGTTATACGAAGGACATACATTGAGGTGATCCTCGAATTGGTGCCATTGAAACCAGAACTGCAGCTCAGTCCATCCCAAGCAAGTTTTGGAACACAGGGGTCTCCTTGCCAATCTAAATTGGAGATCTTCTATGCGCCTTTAATGTCCATGATAACATCCACTATTATTACGAATAATGAGTAAGATCTTAGAAGACGCTTATAAAAAAAGATTAAGATATTAGAAGACAAAACCAAACATGAAAACGAACATAAAAATATAATTCATGAAAATATATTGGAAATAGTTTAATGAGGAATGAACAAATTTGCACCATCTCTTTGGTCTGTTGGCGAATATAGAGGTGACATGAACTCGTAAACTTCAAAAGCGTTAAGGATTGGGGGAGCATCGGATTCTGATGTTGCGTTGATGCTAAAACGAACATAACCTTGACTTGCGTTTCGAGGAGCAATGGTTTGTGGTTTCAAGTATTCAAGAATTATAGGTTGGGAGACAACGTATTCATCACCAACAGTGACATTGATATTCAGTATTCTCTTTTGCGCAGGGGCAAGTTGCTGAATTTCACAAAAGTGAAAATAGACGTAATATTTGGAAGACTTGTCGAGGTGTTTCCATACAGAATCATAATCAAAGTTTAATCCATAGGAGTGATTGAATGATTGGGCTGCTGATTTCAGAACTTCTGACGGTAACTTATAAGGATTGTTTGTGATTGAAGGATCAATATCTACAGACCCATTAATCTGGTACCAACCCGGTGATAAATCGATTTCGCGCCACATTCGATCATAGATGTCATCCTTGTACCTGCACTTGCATGCAAACATACACACACACTCAAATATTTGTGTGTGTGTGTGTACATAGTTATTTCTTGTCATTATTGCTTCTCCACACAACAAGATTGGCGGTAGCTGTGCATAGAATTTTTTTATTACAGTCCAACGAAAATTTATGAGACATATATTACTATTCATTTAACTTTTTTTGACGAACCATTTAGAATATTGATTATTTATAATTAAGTACTAATGATGACTTATCTAGATTCGAAGTCGCCTTAATTGAAGTGAAAAAAAATTTTTCAATGTTTTTTCTTCCACATAGAGCTCAAACCTTAGTATTCATTAGTTTTAATTAGATTGCATGCTATTTTTTAATACTTCTTTAATATTCCAAGAATTTTTCGAGGATTTCTCTTGTTATGATAAATTATAATCTAGGTACATGCATGATAACAAAATTTATTGCTTGATCCTCCAAATCACAAATTGAGAAACTTAGTCTCCTCCTAAACAAATTAGTTTTTCTTCTAATCTTACTTGATTGATATATGATGCCGTAAATCCTTATCTGACCAATAGTGATAAAGTTATTGAAGTTAACTTGCCCTTAATTGTCGCTTTGGGGTTACTCCAAAAATTAACCGAATTAATGCAATATAGTGCACAATCCGGATCGTATTCACTTTGAGGAGCCGAAAACGAAATTAAATCCTAGTAAATAAATACAAGTAACCTAAACTATAAAAAGGATTTTTTATTTGAGTTTGAAAAATTGCTAACTAAATGCCTTGAATTAAATTGAAATTAAAATACTTTTTTTTGTTATTTTCTTTTATATAAAAGATTATTGAAATAACTGAAAATGAAAGAAATGAAAATGAGACACACAAATAACACTGATGATAATCAATCCTCTAATTCAACAATGTAGGCAATCATCACTCTAAAAGATGTGGGAGTTAAAAACAATGAATTAAGAATTATAATTAAGCTTTTAATCCAACAACCGAGCCACCTCGAGTTGCCACAAAATATTTTCCTAAAATTCAAATTACTAACTGCAACCAGAATAGTAAAATGAAATTAAGGATACTAAAAACCAATGCTCAATTAAATTCTTAAATTCACAACAATAGACTTAAAGCTAGCAAGAGACAATATGATTCAAGATTCTAAGCCACCTTAGAAAATCACAATATATTAACTCCAAAATCAATACAAATGTCATAACCACAACATCATAATTGAAATCAAAGCTATAAACAGCCCAATGTCAAATGCTAAACAATAATCCAGTCACAATAATCCCCAAATATAATCAGATTAAGCAATACAATTATCCCAACAATTAGAAAAAACTATCCTAAGACCTAGAAATTGTTAAACAATTATTGAGTAGGAAATTAAAGCAACTAAAACTCCCCTTTGATGATCCAAGCTCCTGCCATTATTGTTAAATTAGGGAATTAGGAATTAGCCACGGTTTGCCATCAAATTCGCTGCAATCAGTATTTTGCTACAGGATCCCATGGAAGAACACTGTTCAAGCTGAATGGTTCACGTCTCTGTTTCGCTTGCGCCTCCCTTTTGTTGCCGCCGCCCAGCTCTTCGGTTTTGTTCTCTCCCGTTTGGCGTGTTCAGCTCTCCTCTGTTTGTGCTTGCGTCTTTCTCCACTTCAGCTCGTCTTCAGCGTCGTGTGTGTGTGGTTTATTTTTGTGCCGCTTCCCCTGTTTCGTGTGTGTGTTCGACGTCGTGTGTGTGTGGTTTATTGGATATTAGGTTGTTAGTGGGGGGAGCAAAACGTTGCGTTTTGCTCCCCTTTTTTTCTAAATTATTTTTTTAATTTTTTTAATTTTTTTAATTTCTTTATTTTTTAATTTTCATTTTTATTTCTTCCAAAAACCTGCAAGCAAAATTCAAGGATAAGGTAGCATTAATTGTCCTCAAAAATCAATTAGTCACAATTAAACCAAAATATGACAATTTTGCCCCTATAAAATAATAATTCAAAATAAAATAAATTAAATCAATTAAGGCAAAAAGGGGCCAATTAAACCGACAAAACTCATATAAAAGATATCAAAATATATAAAAATAATTGAGTTTGTCAACTCCCCCACACTTAGCCTTTTGCACTCCTGGGCAAAACATCATTAAAGAAGAATCCAATAGAGACACTCAATGCAAGCAAACATAAAACTAACTAAGCATGAATGTGCAGTTAACTCAAGCAACCTTTATTCTTAATTAATCAACAATCATAGAATACTTCAGTGCAAAGAAATTAACACAAGAAACATAGCAGGATAAAAGAGGAGAAACATAATAGAGCTCACATAGGGTACAAGTGTTTCACTCATCTCTCAAATGGGAGAAATTTCACTCAATCCACCTAGATTAGCACCTACCATAAGCTTGTAGAAATTCTAATATCTCCACCACTAACATACCTTAGACTCATGATCAAGGGGACTTGAAGGGTTGTAATGTTGGAAACTATGGCCAAATGAATGAAATGGACTAACAAGTGAAATGCATGAGTAGTAAATAATCAACTCAAAGTGAGCTAAAGTACAATCATGAAACAACACCAATGTCCAGATTTTAACCTTTTGAAACAAAAATCTTTGCTCTTCAAACCATCATGGAATGCCTTATTTCAAATTTATTCTTTTGTTGCAACTTATTTTCTTCTTCTTCTTTTTTTTTTTTTACTTTCTTTCTTTGGCTTTTTCTAAACATTTTCTTCTCTTTCTTGCCTTTTTCTATCTCTCTCTCTCTCTCTCTCTTGGCATCCAAACCCAAGAAGGCAAAGATATAGACTTTATTGATGTACTTTTCAAAATTAAAAAAAAAATCCAAATGTAACTCATGCAAAACACTTGCTTAAAAAAAGTAGTGAATGGAATGAAAGTGAAGGCTCAAAGGGGTGAACAAAGGTTAAATGAAGTGGTTTGTGTTTGGGTAAAGGTTTAGAAATGAATGCCCCTATCATCTTCATAAACTTAGGTATTAAAGCAGCTTTGAAAAAGAATCTAGACAAGTTCTAGAGGTTGACCAAAACTAAGTGAGAATCACACAATATGCGAAAATATATGGCTCAACAATCCTTCCATCAAGGCTTTCTCCAAGATGTTTCCTCCTTAAGGATCAAGCTATGAAACAAGGTTAATAACACTGTACTAAAGGCATTCTACTATGCTAATCAACTAAGAACAGAAATCACTCAAATCAAATGCAATCAAACTCAGCTGTGCAATATTCACAAGCATTGTGCAAAAGGATTTTAAAAGAGATGTCCAAGGATTACAAAAGTCAAGTCAGCATCAGAGAAAACAGCAACTCGCCCGTACAGCAGTGCAGAACACTGAGGCAAGTGAAAACAGGAGGACATAGAAACCAGCAGTAAAATTCCCAAGCAAGAATCTCTCAAATCATGCGATGCAATTCAGAAATCAACCAATAAGGCAGAGAAGAGAGCAATTATAGCAGCAATACTTAGGAAACATGAGCAAATTCAAAGGCAAATTTTTTTTTTCAAAAACAGCTCAACAACTCAACAATAATCCCTCCCCCACACTTGATCAATACATTGTCCTCAATGTAAGAAAAACAACATTATCTTAACCTAAACTCTCGAGTGAAGTGGAAGTTGTGAAGTCCGATTTGAAATCGAAGCACAACACATCACTATCACGAGGAAGAGAGAAGGGAGAGGTAGGATAAGATAATGTGAAATGAAAATAGACAAGTATAAATCAAGTGATCAGAAGAGATGGCAGAATCAAGAGGAAACAAAACAAACAACTACTAAACAGAAATAAACAGCTACAACTACAACTACTGGAAAAGTTCCCTCCCCCACACTTACTCCTAACTATCTCAGCAAACAGATATCACCAGCAATACAATAGAAAGTAAAAGAGTAGGGTGGAAGGGAACAACCGGGTAATCAGGGGGGTCTTTGATCCTCGTGGTAGTGCTTCAGCAGATGGCCGTTGACTTGTGAAGTTATACCGGTCTCCTCATCTACGAGCTCTACCGTGCCAAAGGGATATACTTTAGTAACTCTAAACGGACCTTCCCACTTGGTGACAAACTTCCCGGGCATCAGCTTCAACCGGGCTTTAAACATCAGAACCTTGTCACCTTCATAAAACTGCTTCCTCAGAATCTGTTTGTCATGAATCATTTTCAGCTTGTCTTTGTAGATTCTGGCATTGTCGTAGGACTCAAGTCTCATTTCTTCAAGTTCCTGGAGTTGCATCTTCCGATTGACAAGTGAAGATTCGAGATCTGCATCACATGCCTTGATTGCCCAATAAGATTTGTGCTCGATCTCCATATGCAGATGGCAAGCCTTGCCATAGAGCAACCGGAAGGGGGACATGCCTATAGGGGTCTTGTAGGCAGTCCTGTAAGCCCAAAGAGCTTCCTCAAGCCTTTCACTCCAATCCTTACGGGACGATTTCACGATCTTCTCAAGTATTCGCTTCACTTCCCAGTTAGAGACTTCAGCTAACCCCTTTGTCTGAGGGTGATAAGGAGTTGCCAGCTTGTGATTGACTCCATGTTTAGTCAATAGAGACTTGATGGTCCTATTGCAGAAGTGTGTTCCTTGGTCACTAATGATTGCTCTTGGAATGCCATACCTGCAAAAGATATGAGAACGTAAAAACTTGGCAACAATAGAAGCATCATCTTTCCTAGTTGGCACTGCCTCTACCCATCGAGACACATAATCTACTGCAAGTAATATGTATGAAAACCCAAAAGACGAAGGGAAGGGACCCATAAAATCCATACCCCACACATCAAAGATTTCACAAAAATGCATAGGTCTTAGAGGCATCTCATGCTTCCTACCCAAACTCCCAAACCTCTGACACTTATCACAAGACTTGCAGAAAGAATAAGCATCCTTAAATAGAGAAGGCCAATAAAAACCACACTCTAAAACCCTCCTAGCAGTCCTATTAGCACTAAAATGCCCCCCACAAGATAAAGAATGTGCAAAGGTAA